TACCATATATGCCAATTGGTAAGAGCGCATAAAATGCAAACCGGGGTATGAACTGAGCACGGACTTTTTTACAAGTTTCTGTGTGAGTGAACAACTTCTAGTGCAAATTAATTCGTTGAAATATATTAATAATGCAATTACTAAAAGAGGCCATCATTTTCTTGATTATCTCTCTTCAACATTTCTCGTACTTTTTCTTTATTGTTTTATACATTTTTAGCTTGTATCTCAAGTAGTGGTAAGCCTTGTCTATACTAAAGGAGTTTCTTTACTTTAAACCATACATCTCACCTATGTTTTTAAGAATGTCTTGTTACATATAATTTTAGAAGTTATATGCATGTTACATACTGCATGTTGATATTTTCCACTATATTTTCTCATCAAAATAGGTACCTATTTTACCCGTTGTACCCCAAGAACCTCGTCCTGTAAGCTCTGGTTCAACAACTCCTCCAGTACCATTACCAAAAAAATCTAAAAGGAAATCATTATGTAGAAAGGTAATACTATTTTAAAAACATGGTATACTCTGTGTGCCACCACCACTTGTAATAACATCTCATCCACACCTATTTATCATTACTAGAACACAGTCAATATGAATACATACATAAATGGATGGGATGCCAGTAAGTGGGAGCTATCACGTGACCAACTTAGTATCGACGATACACCATTAGCGAGTGGATATTTTGGTGATGTGTTTAAAGCCAGACTTGATGTTTGGACGGGAAAAGAGAAGAGTGTAAATGTAGTGGTCAAAACTTTAAGAAGTAAGAATAATTTAAAAAAAAATGACTTTGAAATTTAGAACACAATATGGTATCAAGTTTTAACGTGAAGGTAAAAATGTACAGCAAATTTACATTTCAGAAACCGGTTATTCATTGTAGAATAAACAAGACCTATATTATGGTATGTAACCTAATTATGAATAGGCCTGTATTAATGCAGTTTGTCTTAAATATTTGTTAAAGATCAGTCATCGAACCGTGACAAGGCACAATTTTTGAAGGAATTGGCTACGCATGCGCTAATAGAACCTCATGTTAATATTGTGCGACTTATCGGATGTTGTACCAAATCAGGTAAAAAAGCGTTCATGTATTTTATAGTGTTGTTCGTAGGCTGCATTATATTATAAATAACATTACATATAGGAAATAAATAGAATACACAATTATGGTGCACTAATGTTCTGGGTTCATGCCGTATGGTTTAGGTCTAGTAATACCGTACTCTTATTGAAATATGATTCAAAATGCATTATTTCTACTTTCAGCTCCGCTTTTAATGGTACTGGAATACGTAGAAAATGGGTCTTTATCTGATTATTTATTTAATAAAGAAATTGACGTAGATCAGGGTCGGAAGAATCTTGTTTGTTTTGGTCATCAAATCGCAGATGGTATGGCGTACCTCAGTGAGATGAAGGTAGGCATGCACATACTAAATACATAGGTATAATATAAGCCTATGTATGTGATAAACTCTGGAAAACACTGAAATAATCAATATATAATTATATAATAATAAATATATATATAATATAATATAATATAATATAATATAATATAATATAATATAATATAATAATATTATATATAGACCTATATATATATATATATATATATATATATATAGGCCTATATATTCATTCATTTCATTTTA